CTGGCAAAGATTTTCTTTCTTTTAATCACATTAAGGTAGGGTTGCCAGGTCTACTTTACCTGACTGGCGGGGGGGGGTGGGATTCCGGGAACGGGGAGGGCAGGGCGACATCGAAGCCGTGCAGTTTAGCATCTGTTGAACTCTACTGATTTGTTGGTCTTTTAAATTGCTTCTTGGTTTATCGTATCAATTTAGATTAAGTGTTTTATTCTATGTGATTCTCAGCTGGGCTGGGCGGCCTCCCAGCTGTGTGTTATTTCTTCTGGAGGTTGTTTAATGTTTGGTTTAGCCTTATCTGCTTCGTTGCCTTTGTGTTTCTTCTTTGATATCTGGGCAGCCTGATATTCAGCTTAGTTTTGGTGTGTGTTGGCTGGGATGGCTGGGACGGGCTGGGCGGTGACGCGGCTGTAGGTAGCAACGCTCCAAGGAGATCATTTTAACTTAAAAAACCTTGTGAAACCTTGTCTAGTTTTATTTGTCAGCCGTTTATTATCCCGTTCTCCTTTTGTCCTTTTTCTTTTCTTCCTCCCTTTGTGACATCTCTGAGTGATCTTATTCTTGTTCATATCAGCGTAAGGCTGACCTTGGCTTATCTAGATAGTCCAGATTGTTTCTCTTTCAGTTTGTCGTTTTTGCCCTATGGGTGAAGGAATGACGGGAGATTCAGCTGTGTGAGTTTTAATCTCTCCCTTATTATAAAAGAGTTTTGGGTGCCAGAATTCTAAAATTGGCCCCTTTAGTGTTAGGCCGAAAAAACTGCCACTCGGAAGACACTGGCTGGGTTCATTGGCTGCTTTGTGCAGTCCCGGCCAGCGTTCCAAGGTCATTTACATATGGAAGCTGATTGGACTACACTCCATTCCACACCTGAAACTCACCCCCCCCCAAGGCAGTTGGAATTTTCAGTTGGGAGAGGAGAATGATGTCAGCTGCTCCCTAGGCAGAGGCTGTGTGTGTGTGTGGGGGGGGGGGGTTGTAAAGACAGACAGGCAGATAAACGTTGGCTGATGGTTGCCAACTCCAGGTTCGAACTCCAGGACATAGGGTTGCCAACTCCAGGTTGGAAACTTCCAGGATATTTTAGGGATGAAGCCTGCTGAGGGTGGGATCTGAGGAGGAGGAGGAAGAGGGGGACCTCAGACAGATACAATGTCATGCTGCCCACACTCCAGACAAGCTGTTGCCAGTCTCCAGGTGACAGCTGGAGAGATCTTAAAGCTTTGGGGCTACTTCAAAGTTCCCCAGGAGCCCAAAACAGAGTAGTGTTTTGGAAAATCTTGAGGAATTGTTTGGTGCATTTATGATGGGGCTCCTGGGGAACTATTGTTGCCAATCTTGGCCCAGCAGCCATCAAACCATTCTCTTCAACCCCCTGCTGTGCAGCTGACTTTCCCCTAGGGTTGCCAATCTCCAGGTGGGACCTGGAGATCTCCCACTGCTACAATTGATCTCCAGATGACAGAGATCAGTTCCCCAA